CAGCCGCAGGCGGGAGGAGGGGCTGGCTGCAGCCCCCCAGAGGCCCATGGCTGGAGATCTCCCAGCCCGCAGTACAGGGGCCCAGCCACCCCCAAGACGGGAAACAGGAGTAACCCCGTACCAAGGGCTCTGCCACGCCTGGGGCCCCGTCCCACACAGCGTTTGTCCAGTCACAGCGCCCGCTCGCCCTGGGCCCGGCTGGCCTGTGCCTGTACCAGGCTGGCAGCCCGGGCAGCAGCATCAGACGAGCACTCGGCAGGAAAAAGGGGTCCGAGTGCAGCATTGTCTGGCAAAGCCAGCGACTAGGGGCCTTGGGGCCAGCACCATCCCGACCTGCACTGGTACCTGCCTGGGGCTGAACAGTCGCCGGCATGGCCTGCCCCACCCCCTGGCACAGGGCTCTGGGTCCTGTCTAAAGTGCCCTCCCCACGGCGGGTCCTCAACACCCCCTTCCCAGTGCTGCCAGCCCCGAGCACGGGCGGGTCCTGGCCAGGCCTGCGGCCCGAGTCACCGGGGAGTCAGAGCCCCAGGGGAAGGCAGCCCTTGCAGGGTTCTCGGCTTTGTTACCTCCCCACGGCAAACTGCCCCCAGGCCTCACCCCTGAGCGGGGGACAGGGGGGTTGGGGATCTCGGGAGGGAGCTGGCACAGCAGGGGCAGGGCCAATCCAGGCAAGGGAATGGCAGCTCTAGGGCTCATCCCACAGCAGCATCTCCCTGGCGGGCCGCCCCCGACCCCACCCAGCAGATGCCCCCGCCCCTGCAGGGCCGAGCCAACCCACGTCCAAAGCCTCAGGCACAGCTCGCCCATCCCAGACGCTGCGCCCCCAAGCTCAGCTCCGAGCAGCGCCTGGTTTGCACCGTCCATCCCCAGGGGCTCAGCCAAGACAGCACCTCCGCGGGCAGGCCTGGGCACAGGAGAGACGCCGGCCCCCCAGGAACACTCCTGCCGCTGCCTCCAGCTGGGGGACCCCGCACACGCAGGGGTGGGGCATTAACCGCGGTGCCCACCCAACATCGCACCGCCGCCCAATGCCACCTGCGGCCCCTGCCCATCGCTGGGCTCAGGGAACGACCCCGCAACGGCCCAGATCCGAGCCCTTCAGACACCGCTAGGCACCACCAGGCTGAGCCGCCGCCTGCCGAGGGGCTGGAAGCGCAGGGCCAGGCGGGGGCGCTGGGAGTCCCTGGAAACACCCGCGAGCCCGGCCCCAGGTGACTGGCGCAGGGGCAGGACCCTAGTGCCCCCGAGTCCAATCCAGCAGAGCACCCAACTCCAGCCCAGGCTTTCACGGCAACTGACTAACCAGAGGACAAGAGAAGAACCGGAACTGGATCCCTCAGCCCCGGAACGGGCTCTGGGCAGAGCCCCAAGCTGCAGAGCCAGATCCTGACAGCCAGACGCAGCCGCTGGGATGCCGGGGAGCCCAGCCAGAGCCCGGGCTCGCCGGGGGGGGGGGGGGGCGGGGAAGAGCCCTGCCCCCATCCGGCCCCTGCCCGACCCCCGGCCGAGCGATTCCGTCGCCCCAGCCCAAAGCCACAGGCGGGTCAGGCCCGTCGCTGGGAGCCAGCCAGCCCTCGGGGGGACGGGACAGGCGATGGGTGGCCCAGGGCGGGGAACCTCTTGTCCCAGGCTCCCCGTGGGCGAGGCCAGGCCAGCAGGGTCACTAGTGCTCTTTAGCGTGGCTGGGTACAGGGGGCCAGGGCCCATTCACAGCCCCCCGCCGGCAGCGAGGGCTCTGCCAGCCCCACTCCCCCCCCAGCTGCCCCCCACAGCACTTTGCAAAGGGAGGGGGCTGCTGGGACAGGCAGGGAGAGACCGGCGCAGCCAGGATGAGCTTGGCCTGAGGCCCAGGGGGCGTAGGCTGGGGGCAGGGCAGGCCCCACTCTCCCCATTCCTCCGGGCAGGCTGCCCCAGGCTCCTACCTTGGCCCTGCTGGATGAGATCTTCCATGAAGTACCTGCCATCCTCCCAGTCCATGGCTCCGCTGCGGCGCTGGGGCTCCCGTTCTGCTTCTCGCTCAGCTTGTCACACCCCCTCCTGCCAGGCTGCAGCCGGCCCCCTTCCAGCCGGAGCAAGTCCCAGCAGCGCCTGCCCCGCAGGATGCACCAGGGGCTCGGCCTCCCCTCCTCTTCCTCTTGCCAAAGCCTGGCAGCCCGTGGCCCACCCGCAGGCTCCCGCCCCAGCCTTCCAAATCGACTCCAGCTGCTGCGAGGAGCCGCCAGGATTCTTGTGGCATTCAGCAATTCAGCCCCTCTGCTCCGCACCGGCGGCCGGGGGCCTGAGGACGCCGGCTCCGGGCCCCAGGGGCTTTCCACATGCCCAGAAACGGCGCGGCCTCGGCCTGCCAGGGCAGCGCGTGGGAATCACAGCACCTGAGGGGCTGGAGCAACCCACTGAGGACCCAGCTCCTACGAGCCCTGGGGCAGCCGCGGACAGCTGGGCACAGCGGGCGCTGATGAGGGGCCTGGGCCAGTGCCTGGGGCTTTGTGCTACTGAGGGCTGGAGCCGGGGGAGATTTAGGAGAGGGGTTTGGTCCCCTTCCAGCACACTCCACCCCAGGGCAGCCCTCGTCCGAGCTGTCCTGGAGCACCCAGTGCCGAGCCTGGCGCTTTGCCCTCTCCCCACCTGCCCCAGGGATCTCAGCAAGGAGCAGACCCCTGGGGCCCTGGTGCTCGTGCTGAACCGGAGGGTCCCAGACGCTGGAGCCCCTCTCCCCACACCTGCCAAGGCCAGGCCACGGAGAGCACGAAGGAGCCCCCTGCCCTGCAAAAGGCCCCCGGAACAGGCCAGCTCCAGCCCCGCTCTCACCCCTTCCCCGTCAGGGAGATGGGCTGGGGGTAGAGACCCACCTGGGTCCGGCTCCCTGCCGTCCCCATGACAACCCTCCCCCCAGTGCCCACCCGCCTGCCCAGCACCAGCGCCAGGCGAAGGGTTAACAGCACAGCCAGTAAGCAAGCGGGGAGGGGGGACAGGACTATGGGTCAGCACTGAGGGGCGTGGGCACAGCCGTGGGGCAGGGGGAGCCCAGGCCGAACCGTGGGGCAGGACACAGGGACTGGGCACAGCCGTGGGACGGGGGAGCCCAGCGCCGAGCCGTGGGGCAGGACAGAGGGGCGTGGGCACAGCCGTGGTAGCCCAGGGCACAGCCGTGGGGCAGGACAGAGGGGCGTGGGCACAGCCGTGGTAGCCCAGGACACAGCCGTGGGGCAGGACAGAGGGGTGTGGGCCCAGCCAGAGGGAGCGGCTCAGCGCGGTGGGGAAGGCGCCTGCAGCTGTTGGACAATGCCCCCATTGTCCCAGCAGAGCAGCTGCGGGGCGGGGTGGGGTGGGGCAAGCTACCTGCCAGAGCCGGGGCGGGGGGGGGGGGGGGGGGCCCCCCCCCCCCCCCCCCCGCCGCATGGTGCAGGGACCCCCGGCCAGGCAAGCCCCTACCTCGGGCCGGGCAGGAGGGGGATGGGGCAGCAGGACACCAGCGAGCGGCTGCCCAGGCAGCATGCACAGCTGTGGGGCAGGGGGTGCCACATGGGCCCAGACCCTCCCGCAGCACAGGCTGTCTGGCCATCGGGGCCCGTCTAGGGAGCTGGGGGCCTGCCCTGGGCCCCGCACTCGGACGTGGGTCTGATCTCCAGCACGCGCCGCAGGCGGGGATGAGACCCAGGTGGTGCAAACGTGCTGCTCACCCCCCTCGCTGCAGCCCCAGGCTGGCAGATGCCCACCCTGAGAAGGGAACACCCCTCTCCTGCCCCTCCTCCGTCCCCTGAAGGCCCTCGTCCCCCATGACCTCCGCCCCGTCCCCCATGACCTCCGCCCCGTCCCCTCCCGCCACCGGGCTGGGAGCTGGCTGGACAGGAGCAGGGGGGTGCAGCTAGCCCACGGGATGGGCCCTGAACAAGGAGGGCAGCCTGCCCCATGCGCCCAGCGGGCGAGGCCAGGGGCATGTGCTGGCTGGGGGGGCGGGAGCCCCAGCGTGAGGACGGGCAGGACTACCCGGCACCGCCCAGCACTGGCCTTGCCCCTCACTGGCTGGTAAGATGCCTGCACCCACTCCTGCAGACCGGCTGTGGCATTAGCCCACTAGCCCAGATGGGCTACACACCTAGCAAGCCACCGGCCCCAGCCCATCCCCCAGCCGCTCCGCACGCGCTCCCGGCCTGGGACCCCCACCTGCAGTTCTGTGCTACTCGTGGGCCAAGGGCGCATTCTCGGGGAGCAGCCCCTGGGCGGGGACCCACTTCTGGGATAGACACAACCCTCAGCCCCGCCGCGTGACCCCGCGCTGCCCACCCCCCACGTACGTGCCAAAGCCCCACAGTCAGAGCGCCAGCAGCTGCTGGACTCACCCACCCCCCAGTGCCTGAGTGCGGCCAGCCCCCAGCCCCTGACCCCTGGCAGCACCCCCAGGGCTCTCCCCAGACGCTGCCTGCAGCAGGCCCCACAGGCAGGGAGTCGGGGCCCCCCTCCCTGGGGCTGCCTTGGTCCCCGCAGCCTCTGACCTTGGCAGCGGAACGGAGCAGCTGGAGGAGGACAAGGAAACTGACGGCCAAGGATAGCACGGGGCCCTGCACCTGTTGGCATGCCAGGGCCCGCCTGCGGGGGCTGGGGGCGCGGGAAGCCGGCCTGCTGTCTGCCTGTCCCTACTCCCCCTACCCCCCGTGTGGCAGGGCAAGCCAGAGCTCCCGCCTCGCACAGACCGGGTGGGAAAGGGTTAAGGGCAGCCCCGCCCCCCACGGCATTCAGACATCCCTGTGCCAGCACCCCCCAGGGGCCAGCGGAGGGGAACCCCCCCCCAAGAAAGCCACGGACCATGCCCCCTCCCCCCCCCCGCACCACTCGCTCAGAACACAGCCGGCGCCAGCTCTCCGGCTGCAGGTTCCCCCCACCCGAATGAATGAACACAGCCGCCCCTGCCGCCCGGCGCTGCTCCCCATGGGGGGCAGGACCCAGCCCCATGCCCCCCCCCGAGCACGCTGCCCCCTCCCTGCCGGCGAGGGGTGGGTCGCTAACCTGGGGCAGGGCTGGGTTCCGGGGCCAGCCTGGACACTCCCCCTGCTGAGGCGGCCTCCACGTGCTGCTCCCGGGTCTCCTCTCTCCTGCGGTACGCCTGGCGCGAGCCCCCGCCCTCCTCGCCGCCCGCCTGGCGTTTGGGGGGGCAGCTGGCCAGGCCCGGCACCGTCTGCACCCGGGGGCCGGCCGCGGGGCGCCGCATGGGCACGGCCACGGGGCGGCGGACGCGCTGCAGGGAGGCGGGCACGATCTCGGGCGGCAGGTGCAGGTACTGGCGCAGGTGGCCGATGCCCTCGTTGGTCAGGTACCAGTAGCAGTGGCGCCAGGCGAAGGTCTCGCGCACCAGGCCCCGCGACCGGAGCGAGCCCATGGCCCGCAGCACCTGCAGGTTGGTGATGCCGGGCAGCTGCGGGTGGAAGCTCTGCGGCCGCTTGTCCTTCTTGGCCACCATGACGCCCTCGCGGAAGAGCAGCTCGTAGATGGCCTGCAGCCGCTCCAGCGGCATCAGCATCCCTGCCACCATGGCGGGCACGGCGCGAGGCACGGGCAGCACGCGGCCAGGAACAGTCCTCTCCGCAGAGCAGCCGGAGCAGCGTGCCTCCCTCCAGGCCCGGCTCAGACCGAGCAGCCGGAGCAGCCGGGCCAGTGGCAGCAGCTCCACCCCTGCTCAGGCATGGGGGGGGGGGGGGCCCGCCCCCCCCCGGGCGGGGACACACACGCGGATAGGGGCGCTGCGGGGGGGGGGGGCGCAGACTCAGCAGCCCCTCCCGGGCACCACACCCCCTCCTGACCACGGGGAGGGGGAAGGAGAGGAAGCTGCCAGATTTGCCGGCTCTGCTCTGGCCAGGAGTTTCATCATAGTTTCCCCTCCAGTTTCCCACAAGTGGGGCGGGGTGAGGGGAGCGTGGGGCTGGGGGAGAGGGCGGGCACCCGGCACTTTGCTTTCCACTGCACACGACTCGGCAAAGGCGAACTGACCAGACGGGTCCGGCCGGGGGCCAGTGCCCCACGCGGCGAGGGGCAGAGCCTGGGCACAAGGGCATGGGGCCAGGGGGGCTGGACGGGAGACGCCAGGCTGCATTTCCACGCCCAGGGCAGCCTGCCCGACTCTGGTCCCTGCCCGGCCCCGCCCCCAGCCGGCACATCCCTGTCATTCCTGGCACCCTGCCGGGGAGGCCAGGCAAGGAGGGCGTTGGCCGGCTTTAACCACTTCCATGCCAGCCCATGTTTGGTGTGCGAGAGGAGCTGCTCTCTAGGGCTGACAAACCAGGAAACAGCACCCGGGCTGGGGGGCCCAGACTGACCAAGCACCCCAGCCAGTGCTCACAGCACCCCACTAGCCACACAGCCCCCTGGAGGAGTCAACACTGCACTGAGGGGAAACTGAGGCACTGGGCGGGGACAGGACCTGCCCAGCCGCACATCGCAGGCCAGAGCCAGGAACAGAACCCAGGAGTCCGGGTGCCCAGCCCCTGCTCTAGCTGCTAGGCTCCACTCCCTGCCTGCAGGGTTACACCGAGAGCTGCCCACGCCTGCAGCTGAGCACACGCCCGGCCGCCCTGGAGCAAACGGGGCAAAGTGCCCCAAGCCCGGCTCAGCGCCCTGGGGAGACACCTCGCCAGCAAGTCACCGGTGTGGTTACGCGGCCCAGCCCTCGAGCCAGCACCCAGGGCCTCCTGCCCCACAAGGCAAAGGCTCTGTACCCCCATCTCCCCTGCCCCGCCCCAGTCTATGTCTGGGGACACGGGAAGTGCCAGTCTCTGCACAGAGCAGCTCGGACGCCCCTTTGTGGAGATCCCACTCACAGCACCAGACCCCCTCCCGCGGCAATGCTGGGCCGGACCCAACGCGGGGGCTGGGGTGGGGTGGGGAGGGGAGGGAAGGTCAGCTGCCAGGGCCCCAGCCCTCTCGGGGCACCATACTGGGACCAGCCCCTGAGGGAGGGCACTGCCTCCCACCCCAGGCTCCAGCCCCACCAGCCGGGCAGCAGAGAGACAAGTCTACACCAGTCCTGGCCGCACAGAGCGGAGGAGTCACCTACCCCCACAGACCCAGTAACCCCCCCCCAGACACCTATACACACCCACCCCCCCAGACCCAGTAACCCCCCCCAGACAGCTGTACACACCCACCCCCCACCTACCCACATGTCACGGAGTGTGGGGGAGACGAGATGTGACGAAGTGGGACTGTTCTTAATGTTTCCTCTGAATACTGTGTGGGTGCCTCAGTTTCCCTTATGCATTTCTTAAGTCTCCAGTGTGCATAAATGGCCGACACTCTGTATCCCGGCAACAAATGGCTAGGACCCTTCCCCCCTTGCAAGGGGACAGCTAAAGGTGAACAAAGATCAGGTGACCTCCTGGCCCGGGAAAGAGACAAAGGCCAGAAAGGAGGGGCTGGAGGGGATTTCAGTTTGGAGCTGGCTGGGGACGGGAAGTGAGGGCAGACGGGGGTGTCTGGCTCGTGGGACCCCAGAATGGACCCGGCCGAGGGGTCCCGTTCGCCGCTGTACCTACAGGCTCTGTTTTAGACCATGTTCCTGTCATCTAATAACCATGCCCCATTCCTCCGAAGGCGCCGGCTGTCCGGGAGATCCGGTGGGAGGACACTGGCTGAGCTCTCCAGGACCCTGGAGGAGGTCAAGGCAGCGCTGGAGCAGCTGAGCGCAGAGGTGGGCTCGCGGAGGGGAGGGGGGCCGGGGAGGGAGGAAAGCCGTACATCCGGGAACAGAGTGAGATCCCTGTGCACTCTGGGTAGGGACTCAGAACCAGGACGCCTGGGTTCTCTCCCAGCTCTGGGAGGAGAGGGCAGCTGGTGGGTTGGAGCTGGGGGGCCGGGAGCCAGGACTCCTGGGTTCTCTCCCCGGCTCCGGGGGGGGGGGGGGGGGGGGGGGGCCCGGGCCCCCGGGTTTCCCCCCCCCCCCGGGGGGGGGGGGGGGGGGGGGGGTTGGTGGCTGGCTAAGAGTC